ATATCCTTAACGATTGCCCGACGCTCTTATTTATTAGAAGATTTGTGTTCGGCGAGTATCGGCTAACACCGGCCGATATAAAAGAAGCACGTCTTGGCGACGTTGTCAACTACATTAAATCTGTAGGCTGGCTGACGAGCTAGGAGGTGCCTATCAACTTAGGAGGATGCACAATGGGCCTAATGAGGCCTTAGTGCCGTGGGGGTAACCCACCCTCCACACGTTATGAAAATGAATAAATATAAATAAAAATAAATATTAATTAATAAAAATAAATAATAATAAATAAAAATAAATAATTCCTTGGTAGTAGTAATTCCTTGACAGCCTATGGAAGGACTGATTTTCTCTTGGACAGTTTTATGTGAGAGCAAGTTTCGCATGCAATCTGGTGTTATTAGCAGGTGAGAATCGTACCAGAAATGTGGTAGGCATACAAAGAGATTCTTAATTTAATTATTAAAAAACATGTCGCTTATTTTTTAGAAAGTCGTGCATTTTTTTATGTTAGAAACACGACTCCACGCGTGCGAAGTCGCTGGCAACAGCTAGTTAAATATAAAGCCACAAATGAGTTATTAGCTGATTTATTTACAAAAGTTCTTCCTAGAATAATACATGAAAAGTTTGTAGGAGAGACAGGACTTGACAAAATAGTAAATTATTATTTTTTTTAGGTTTATTGTTATGACTCTACTCGACCATGAGAGTAAGGGGAAGTGTTCAAATTTTATATGGTTAATAAACTATTCCGTTTAAAAGAGAATATCTCATCTTTCCAGAAGAATTTTCCGTGTCCAATACTTAACAATTAATTTTTTATGTAGACAATGTTTATTATGTTTTTAAGACCCAAGTACCTTGGCCTTGATAGTGTTCGTTTCAAATTTATCAAATAAGGAAAAAAAAATTTTAAAAAATAGAATTGTCACATAATAATACGAGCGACCGATTCCCTCAGGAAACGAATTACTCCTTTGGCTAATACTGCAACAGGAATTGAATGAGGTATATCCAAAAGAAAACAGCAGAGATAGTTTATGCTTACTAACAAGAACGTCAGTATTAGATCGTTTTCGTTCAAATTAGAATAGTTTTTTCGTAGTTTATATCTAGTATCACATAGGTTTCAGGCCATGTAATAACCAAGACAAGTCCCTTGGAAACAATCCCTAATATTCACTTTTCAAATAGCATTTACGTAAAACTAGTTTTTTAAACTTTGTACGAATGAATAATGAATCCAGTATCAAAGATATATAAGGTATAATTACCTTATTAAAACTTGTGTTTATTGTATTACCTGAAAGAAACTGATGTCGGACGTGTATCATTTTTGTAAAAAGTTCATCAGTTACGCGAATAACTTACAGGAAGATGAAGCAAAGGTGATAGTTTTAACGATTTTCAAAAAATAGCGTGTATCTAAATTTAATATTAGAACCAAGAAGGTGAAGTGCCAAAATATTATTTTTACATGGACATGCTTAAGAGGTAAAGACACCAAATATTTTTGCATAAGAAGGTTAAAAGGACAAATGGTCCAAATATTTTTTCACATGTAGGTACAGGCGTAAATGGTAAAAAGACCAAATATTTTAATATAGAGAAGCTTAAGGTATAAATAGGCGCCCAATAATAAGGCATAAGAGATAAAATGACAACAAAATATTATTTTTGATTGCAGGCTTAAGAGGTTAAGATAATACTTTTACATGGGGTGAAAGGAATTAAAAATTTTTACATTATCAGGTTTAAGGGATAAAGGGCCCAGATATTTTTACACAAATTGCTTAAATAATTTGCAAAACACAATCAAAAGGCGACATGTTATGGTTCTCAAAAATTAGGGCTAGCAATGTGAAGAACATCCACGTGGTTAAGCGTAAATAACACCAATGCTTCACAAACTTGAAAATTAAATTAATCTTTTAGTCTTTTATTCTGTGATAATCTTTGTTTTGATAAGATGTGAACCACGAATTTGTGCCTGTCGGATTTTATAATTAAAAATATAATGAGTGATACACAAAAAAATGTTTTAAAATTAAACCATGACCGACAAAGAAAGATATACGAAAGAATAGGAAATTTACGCTCCGATATAAGTGAAATTCTCCGAGGCCTACATAAATACATTTTTTGATGATACTTTAAGTTTACGTAGGTACTTTCTTAATAATTATCTGCCTAATTTCAATAATACAGGGTGCTCTAGGAAATTGGAATAAATCAAAGTTAGGTTTTTTAATCGGGACACCCTATATTTTATTGAATTTTTGAAATCTATAAAGAAAATTAGTGTACCTTTGTTGAGGGGTTGTTATACCTAGAGTATATAATTTTTGATTTATTCGAAGATTTTCAAAATTTTCGGGTGTTTAAAAAATGCAAATATATCCCACATTTCTTAATATTTCAAATTGATTTTTTTAAGGTACATTAAGCGTCTTCTGGGCTATAACCTCCAATACTTACTGATCAAATATATTACATAGGGTGTTTATGAAATACTATTTATTATACGTAGATTTAAACACTAAAAACTTCGTTATTTTAAATAGAACACCAAATATATGTTAACGTTATTTGAAGTATCTTTCGAAACCCTTTCAAACGATGTAGGTATTCCCTATACCTATCTGTGATACTTTTACTAACATTGTTACATTTTTTTTTGAAACACGAATTACAAAATAATACAAGATAATAAATTAATTTAATAGATGTTCAAAATGATGACCGTCTTCTTGAATACACATTGTGATCCTTCGTTTAAACGAATTTCTTACTCTTTTTAGCATATCCGGCGTAATAGTTGCAAATGCATTCTTAATTCGTTCCTTCATATCTTCTGGCGTGGTTGCTGGGGTATTGTATGCAAGACTTTTTATATAACCCCATAAGTCTGGGGGTGTTAAACAGGGTGATCTAGGTGGCCAATGGTATGGGCCTCCTCTTCCTATCCATTTATTAGGAAATTTCCGGTCTAAGTAATTTCTCACGTCCCGCGCAAAATGAGAAGGAGCACCATCTAATTGTAGCCACATTAGTTGCCGTACGTTCAATGGTATATCTTCGAGAAGCAGCCAAAAATCTGAACGAAGGAACCTCAAAAAATTATTTCCATTTAGATGACTATTAAAAAAATATGGGCCTATAACTTTCTCTCCAATAAACATTTATGCTCCATCTGTTTTGTCGGTAAATAGTTCTAAATAGGTGCCGATTTTCTGTATCATAGTAATGGAAATTATTGCGATTTACTAAGCCATTGTTATGGAAAGTAGATTCGTCTGTAAATAAGACAAAATCGAAAAAGTCTCTATTTTCTCCTACCTGTTCTAGCGCCCATAAACTAAAATCTGCGTCGTTGAAAATCAGTACCATATAAATGTTGATAAAATTGGATATGGTAAGGGTGGAATCTGTGTTTCTTGAGAATTCTCATTACACTGGTTCTTGGTATGTCCATTTGCCTCGAAATTTCCCTGGGTTAATGTGAGGATTCTCCGTTACTGACCCTAATACTAGAAATTCGTTGTCTTCATTATCAACTACGGGTTTACTCACAGTTTGTTTTGAATATGCAACACTGCCTGTTGCACAAAAACGTTCTAAAACTCTTTTAAAAGTTCTCTTATCCGGTTGATTTCTGTCTGGATACTTTTGGGCATAAACCCGTGTTGCTAAAAAACAGTTTTCATAACACTCACCTATGGTGAGAATCATATCCACCATTTCTTGCATAGAATATTGCTTCATTTTAATAATAATATTGCACAAAACACAACATAATACCTATTGGAAACAGTTTAAATTAAAATGACATAAATTAACAATCAATGCCCAGACACCTTGATTAACTAAATTTAATGAATTATTTACATAAATTATAAGAACTAGACTATTCTCTAAAACAAAAACATATAGGTATAGGGAATACCTATGTATATTGTTTGAAATGGTTTCGAAAGATATTTCTAATAATGTTAAAATATACTGGGTGTTCTATTTAAAATAACGAAGTTTTTGGAGTTTAAATCTATGTAAAATAAATCAGTAAGTATTTGAGGTTACAGCCCAGAAGACGCTTAATGTACCTTAAAAAAATCACTTTGAAATACCAAGAAATGTAGGATATATTTGCAGTTTTTAAACACCCCAAAATTTTGAAAATCCTCGAATATATCAAAAATGATAGATTCAAGGTGTAACAATCTCTTAACAAAGTTATACTAATTTTCTTTGTAGATTTCAAAAACGCAATAAAATATAGGGTGTCCCGATCAAAAAAACCTAACTTTGATATATTCCAATTTCCTGGAGCACCCTGTATTATTGAAATTATTTTTAAATTGTTGCCTTTTCTGATATACATCTCACTGTAAATCCGATTTTTTAAAAAAAGTTTAGTTTTGGATATACAGACCGAGGCGTTACCGGTGGACCACCCTGTATATAATCATTTTTGTAGTGGATTTTTCGTTGCGTTTTTAGGTCAAAATTATTAATAATTACAAAATATATCAAATCATCGTGATAAACTGGAATAATAAATTAAAAACATCAATCATTTATCAACGCTTGATAATTATTACCAGTAGATAATATACTAATTTTATTGTAAATAACAATCTTTATTTACTTTGAACATTGGTATATATCAGGGATTCCCAACCTTTTTTGCGTTAAGCCTCCCTGAATATTACAGATATATATATACATTTTTTTATTGTTATAATAAAAATATATCATTTTCACGAGACATTTATTTTTTAATAACAAGTATTATCAATTTGCACCTGCATGTTCTGAACTTCAAAAGTTTGGATAAAATGTATATTAAACGGCATTTCTATTGTTCTTATTTTTATTAATAATAATAATAATTAAGGGTGGATTTATGAGTTCAAATAGATTTTTCTTCAGCATGTTTGAATACACTGGGCCCTCTTTATGATCTCTTTACGGCGAGCCCCACTTGTTGAGAAGTTCTGCTATAGATAAAATAAAACATTAAGCAGTTTGTATAAAAACGTAAGTTGTTGTAATCCTTCACCTCATCATTAAAATGAAGATTATTATTTTGTTTTCGCTTGTAGCTTTTTGCCAATCCTCCCCTGGTAAGTAAAAAGTTTTTTTTTAATTTTCTTTGAAATAAACAACAATCTGCAAATAGGCAGTTATTAGTCCGTCGGGAAGCCCGGTCTAGGACCGCAGAAAAAAAACCCGGGGTATAACCAAATGGGACCTTCACCATTTAAAAAAGCATGCTTTTTTACAATGAAAATGGCAACTGACGACTTTCTCCATTGGTCGAGACTAAATATATAGGAAAAAAATCAAAAAAAGGTGTTTTTTTTTTTTTGTAAACTTTGAACACTCGTAACTTTTTTTAATAAAGAAGTTAGAACAACATTTTTTTGTTTTATTCCTTATTCAATTTCCTTTCTTTTAATGTATTTGTTTTTATAAAATTATTGTAAACTATATTAAAAAATATTAATTAATTAATTAAATATATTAATATTAATGTAATTCATTCTGCCTTTGCAATTTGAGCTACAAGATACCCCCTCTTTTTTTACACTGACATTTTTGCGTGTTGCAGTTCTTGTCATTACAAAATAAGGAGATAATTTGTCGTATATCTTCTGAAACTGGATCTTGATGCATCATTTCTGAAACCATAAAATTGCCCTCATTTAAAATCCATCCATATCGAAAGGGATCTTTTTTGGTTACCTCACTAATATGACTATTTATCCATAAAAATGTTTGATAATATGACCTAAAATGACATATAATAATAAAATATACGTACAATTTTTGCTTTGTAAATTTATCTAAGTACATCTAGTTCAAAAGTATCTTCTGTAGGAGGAACTCCTGAGCTTGTTTTCTGCTCTCATTTGTAAGTTTTGACCGAAATTATTTTTTTTAAGATTTCAAACCATGCTGTTTCGTGAGAAACACATTTTTCAGCAATCACGAAGAAGCTGATACAAGGATTATTTTCCACATGGCATCCTCCAATAAAAATGGTAGACTGGTTGTAAAGTGTGATGACACCGATATTCTAATATTAATAATTTATTATTATGCTACTCACGAAAATTTTAATACCAAAGAAATATTCATGGAAACTGGTCACACGTGTGGTACTCGAGGACTGCCGCGGTAAAGATATTGCATAGCATTTTTTATCAACTTATGCAATTATAATTATTTATTTATTTTATTTATGCAGTATTTTGTTTTTGTTTGATATTAATTCAAGTTTTTTCTGTGAGCGTAGTGATAATAATTTTTTTAAACTTATTACCGCTGAAAAACAGCAAAAAATTGATAATTTTGAAAATCATTATAGGTTACTTTGATTATTATAGTTTGAATATTCGGTAAAAAATTTAAAATTATAGCATTTTAAATTTTAAGGTATATTATTTAATTCAAGAAAATTAGAATTTTCGTTAATTTCGGATTTTAAAACATTCATAACAATTAAAGGGTTAAATATATGATGATGGGCGTCAAGACTTTTTTTATTCAAAATATCTTAAAGAATATAAAAAAAATTAATTCATTGCAAAAAATGCATTTTTTCTGGCTTAATTAATTTTTCGTTGTTTAAACAATAACATCAACAGATATCGAGTGTCACCTTACACTTTTATAATCAGCAAAGCCTTCCGAATATTTAAAAAAAAAATTACGAATTAAAACAATTTTGCAAACGAATGCGCCACTATGCCCTGCACTAATTATTATGTGTCATTTTATGTCATATTATCAAACATTTATATGGATAAATAGTCATATTGGTAAGGTAACCAAAAAAGATCCCTTTCGATAAGGATGGATTTCAAATGACGACAATTTTGTGGTTCCAGAAATGATGCATCAAGATCCAGTTCCAGAAGCTATACGACAAATCACCTCCTTATTTTGTAATGACAAGAACTGCAACACGCAAAAATGTCAGTGTAAAAAAGAGGGGGTATCTTGTAGCTCAAATTGTAAATGTAAAATGAATTAATCGTCATCTAGAGAAAAATACAAATGAATCTGAAGATCCTGTTGATTATACATTTTTCGATAGTTTGTTTGTTTGTTAAAATTTGTATTTAACAATATATTTATACTACAATTGAATCGGTGAGTAGAAGAACAATACAAGTACCAAAAACGGTAATTTAAACTGAGATAGGCAAATTTTTAAAAATTCACATAGCGAAAGAATAATACACCGATCAACATCATACGAGCGATGGGGGCTTGTTCAATTTTTAGCTGAGTGAAAAAACAGTACACGTACGGCGCATGTACTGATTTTTCAAAGGATTTTTCACTCAGTAGCCATGTCGTTTAATAGACAAATTTAATACAGATTTCAAAAACTGGTGGTCGCAATTTCATAAAAAAAAACCTCTGAATCATCTGATGAACAAAAAGCTAATTTTGTCATTCCGCAGTACAGCTAGTTTACATACACTAGTAAAATTCCTGGATATGTTACTACAAGTGCCTTCATAGGCGGTCTTCTCTCGCATACTTTTATGTGTGGGGCGCATTAGATGGATCAAACCTAATGTCAATCTGCAGTTACCCTTATGGCGGGCATACACGTTACGGTCTGTCTGTGCAGGTGTGCCTGCGTAGGTAGACATACACGCTACGACATGAAGCCGACCTACGCAGCCACACCTGCACAGGTAGATCTCCGGTAGACCGTTGCGTGTATGCCTTCCATTAGAAGAGGCATACTCAGAAGTTGTCCCTATTAACGTAAAGAAGATAGCCAATATAAAGATACTTTTATTCTACTTTAGGGAGGAAATTCTAGAGTTTTACTACCATATATTATTCTTGGAAAGTCAAAAATGAAGATTCTGATTAAAAAATTACAAATAAGTGTTAAATAATAATCAATAAAGCTACAAAAAAAAATTAAAGTATTTTTTTTTAAATTGAGTGAAAGAACAGTATAACTGCAAGTCATTTTTTTTTTCAAATACTATTTTTAACATAATTTTCTTTTTAAATTTATGTACCTATCATTATCGGTTAACTAAAATTCACAATACATAATTAGGCCGAATAACCCATAGTTCTCCTTTAAAACAGTTTTTTTTTGTTTTTCTCAAAATGGACATTTTGGATATATACTGTTCTTTCACTCACCGATTCAATTATTTATTATTTTTGTAAAGTACTTGAATTTTTTGGAAGAAAATTAACAAATTACGACTTATCTTCACTATATAGTGCAAATAACTAATGAAAAATTGTATTTAAAACATTACTGCGAGAATGTGTGCAATAATAGGTATGTCGATCGCAATGGAAAACCCGCAATCAATCCGGCCGCCGAGCCAGGCGCCCCCACGTTTAAAAGCTGCTAGCACTTTTATTATTAAAAATGGACCGCGTAGTAACAAAATGCAGCTCATTAAATTGCGCAGTTTAAAAAAAAATTAAATAGATCTTTGCATAAGAAAGTTATGTGGATTAAAAAAATATTGTCAATTTGTTCGTTTTTTTTTTAAATATTACTATTTTTTAATATAGTTTACAACATTTTTATAAAAACAAATACATTAAAAGAAAGGAAATTGAATAAGAAATAACACAAATAAAAAATTGTGTTCCTAACTTCTTTATTAAAAAAGTTGTTTTTTTCCCTGGGCTCGTCTGACTATGTGTCTCCGAATAACACTGAAGCCTATTGGCTTATTGTGTTTTACCCCATGTTAGTTCATAGCACCCACTCTGTCACCTTTGTACCTTGTACAAGTTTGTACAGATCCTTGGGTGAGTGGGTTCTATACGTTGTTGGATCAACCTGGGGTTGTCCAAAAAGAGCCTGTCTTTTGCGATCTAGAGCTTCGCATTTGCCCAGTATGTGTTTGGCCGTTTCTGATTTCTTGTGACATAGTCGGCACATGAGTTCCCCATTGTACATTAGGGTGGGCCGAAAATTAGAAGAAAAAAAATATTTTTTGAAATTTAAGTTTGGCTATCATGGAAAAGTTGTGACTGGTTGTGACTATGTTTTATATCAAAAATGAAGTTTTTTAAAATATTCTAGCCGGGCCCCTTGGGGCTCAAAAAAATATCCTAAAATCTACCAAGGCTAGTGCCTAAATTACTATTTACTGCCTTAATAAGGTTTATATAAAATATAATTAAAATATTTTAATATTTCGTCCAGCCCCGCTCTTGTTTGAAAAAAAAAAAAAAATATTACTTAAAAATTTTATTTTGTACAGCTCTTCGCGTAATTCAATATTCACAATATGAAAATATCTAATTAAATATTTATTCATTTTTAGTTGAATATTAAATCAACCCAGAACTCACCACGAGGAGGTGGCCGTAACTCGAGTTCCACCCTCCCGCCCACCTACCCATCCCCTCACCCACCGTGGTTGCCGCGGTTAATCCAACCATTCGGCAAATTTGTCTAAAAGCATGAAATTTGGCACACACGTATTTTAGGTCATTATAAGACTTTTGACCAGGAGGACAAAGCCATTTTTTGAGTTTGACTCAAAATGGCGTCTTTTTTCAAAATGACCGACTAACAATTCGCATCTGTTAATTATCAACAGTTTTCATCACCTAATATGTCGATTTTGACAATTTTTTTTGGCGTGCAATTTATTAAAATAACTTTTTTTTAGTGCAGTGTTAATTTATTTGATAAATTTGTACAGGGTGGTTAAAAGTGTACGTCCAATATGAGAATTTCGATGCTTATGAGCTTAGTCCAGCAAATCTTCTTCTTCATATGCACTAAAAAAAATAAATCGGTTAATAAATCATTAGAATATTTATATTATACTATTTACCACTTATTTACACATGTATCCTTGCACTTGCACTATAATGTACAAGTCAGTCCTGCGCGCCGGCATGAGCAACGTTGCGAATCACAGCTTGATTTACAGCCGCACTTTTCCAGCTCCCTGCATGCTGTCCATATAGATGAAAGTGTTGACCAAACTGGCTCCCAGACTTCATTGCGCTGCACCCAACCCCAAGAAATTGGTGTCGGTGGGTCACACTTTAACAGGTCTGTTCTGGTTTTGAGAAATAACGATCCACAACTGTCGGGCTC